GTATAATTTCTAGTTGTGAATTTATTTTGGCATTTTGTTCCTGCATTATTTTCCTGAATTCTTCCAATTTTTTCTCTGTATTTTCCATGAATTTGTATATTGTTTCCTCACGTTTGTCTGCTTTTTGCTTCAGCTTTTGGAGAATTCTGAGTATTAGAGATTTGAATTGCCTATCAGGTAGTTCTAGTGCCTTTTCTTCCACTGGAGAGTCATCTGGTGTTTTATTTCGGACGCCTACTGGAACCATCCTGTCCTGTTTTTGTAAATGTTTTGATATTGTCTGCTGTCTTTGGGGCATTCAGTAGTTATTTTTCTCATTTATTGATTGTAGATTTGTTTGTTTCATCCCTTTTTTTAAAAAAAAATTTGACTATGTCTGAGCAGGCGTGTTGTGTGTTCTTTGTTGTTTGCTTGTCTGTAGGCACAATACTTTTCACCTCCTTCTCCAATTGGCAGGGTCAGTCACTCAGATATGGTACGGCAGGGCAGGTCTAACTGAAGAGGAGTTACTGGGATGGGTTGTTTGTGGCACCTACTGCAGCCAGCAGAGCGGGTCGGTAATCAGTGCAGGGCAGGTTCCAGTACGCTGTGCCTGTGCTGCTTGATGGTGTGATGTGAAGTGCTCGGTGCAGGTAGGCAGGTAGGCAGGATGCGAGGCTGCTTTCTCGTACCGCATTTGCTGGTCTCTGATAGGAGTCCAAGATGGCAGATCCGTGCTGCGTTAGCTGGTAGGGGACCTCTGCATGAATCTCTCATCGCTCTCCACTCTCTGTCAGTTTTCTTACTCCATTTGGTGCTCGGCTGAGTTCTTTCTCTCTTCATTTGATGTTTTAGGGTTTCAGACTGTTGTATTCTCTGTTCAGCTTAGTTTTTCGGATCTTCGCTGTGGAGGGATGGCGTGGTGCTTCTGCCTAGAGTGCCATTTTGCCGGAACCTCTCCCCTAATCTGCATTTTTGAAAGGGTCAAATGAGATGATCTGAGGATTGTTCACGTTTCAAATATTACATAGTTTTGTGTGTCTGAATGATACCTCCTCTCCACACCAATTCTGTGCTAGCATGATCCTGAGCCGTGGAGTTTCAGCTCGGGGAGGCAGAACATAGCTTGTCTTTTCCAGTTTGGTGGCTACATCTCAAACCTTTGCACTTGAACTTGTCATTCCCCTACTTTACCCCAACACCTCAGAAATCCTAATACCATCCTCTTACCGCCCGTATTTCTGTCTGTCTCTGTGCTTCTCTGTCTCATTCTCTCTTTCTCTGTCTCATTCTTGCACACACACACACATATACACACCGTTCGAGGATAACTTCCTTTGGAGCACTTTCCTTAAGTTTTACATTCTAGCAGCTTCTTGGCTTAGAAAGAACCAACTGTGATTTGTAGGAGGGAAGCTGTTGCTCTTTAGAATGAACAGAGACCTTGCTGTTGTTCATGCCTAAGCCATTGAATGTATTTTATAGGCACAAAGAGAACAAGAACAGGCCATTCTTGCGAAAACAGAACCTGAAGATTGCTCCCCTGGTCAGTGGGAAAGGCCGCTTTCATCTTTGATCAGGAGGGGAGTGTAAACAAAGATCAACTCCTTTTCCCATGGGCAGTTCCTTTACACTTCACATCTCGCTGAAGTCATACCTTTGTTTTTTAAGTTGTGTCTTTATTCACCTTTTGATTAAGGGAATAAAATGATTCAGAGCATGTTGATAACCCCAATTATAATATCCCATTCGTTGAGTGCCTAGTGTGCCAGGCACTGTGCAGTGAGTTGTGTGAATGATTGATCTTATCCCCACAACTCCTGTGACACAGGAGGGAGTGAGGATCAGAGAAATTAAGGCCCTTGCCCACCCCTCCTCACCTTGTCATGGAAGAAGGATTCCCCACTTAGGTCCCTCTGATACCAGAGTCACACCTCTGACCAGCTGGGCCTCCAATCCAAAGACTATTTGGGAGATTTTGCATTTTGACTACATTCTGGCGTAGTTATGCACTTTAAAGCTTCCAAGTTTTTGTAACAAGTTGCAAGAAGAGAAGCCTGGCCTGGGGGAAGTGTAAGAGCATGTTTAACACACACTCACATACATACACTCATAAAGACCCTTGGTAACTGGATTTAACCACGTACCTGGCCATGTGTCACATCTGCTGTTGGACAACATGCTAGAAAATACATTTAGGATATAGCAATGGGGAACTTTGAGGACTATAAGAAACAGAAATTCCCAAAGTCTAGCTCAAGCCCAGAAAACAAAACTCCCAAAGTATTTTACCACAAGGGAGCAGTTCCATGGCAGGTTCAGGTTCCCACCTTTGGAGGCCCTGTGTTACAATTTTTACTTTTGACATCTCCAGTGAGAGACACATCTGGCATGAACAGTTTGAAATCTGTGAAGGAGAAAAAATATTCTCCTTTAGATTATCTGAAGTTGAGTTTAAATAATGAGAAAGCAAAGAGAAATATTATTTATTTTTTTTAGCACTTTACAGTTTGTAGAGCACCTTAACTGCGCATTGTGAGCACACATAAGCACTGGACAAGATACCAGAGACCTGTTTTCTGCTCCTGGCTCTTCCTCAGGCTCACGCTTTGGGCAAGCCGCTTCCATCCTCTGGGTTTGAGTTTCCGAATCTCTCAAATGAGAGAGTTAGAGCACTTTGTCACCAAGACCCCTCAAACTCTGTCATTATGTGATTTGATAGCAGTGAAAAGGCAGTAAGTGTTACTCATTACTCTTGCTATATCTGCCTTATCTCAGCCTGTCCTATTCTCTGCCTTCCCAGCTCAGGCCTTCACTGTGTAAGAGCGATCGTCCCTTTCATGCCTGTTGGTACCTAAGCCAGCAGAAACCCACCAGGTTTTCCTGGGAAGACACTGGCTTGGAAGAATCTCAGTTGTTGTGGAATGTGCCAGTTTAGAGCAGATAGCAATCTAAGTACCATTCCAGTTCCAAGATTCTAGAATTCCTTAAAAGGCCACCCTTTAAGATGTACTTAGAGAAACTCCAAAGCAAATTCATTAGATGCCATTTCAACACTTTGTATGGCCATGCTTTTAGAAAACACCCTTAATCCCAGAGATTTGACCTACACTACTGCCTTTAAGATCCCTGCATGCTGGTGGGAATAGGCCTTAGATTTGTTTGCTTTTCCTTTTTAACTTGTCTGGCCTGAATCATTCTCTAGCATTTGAGGTTATGGGTATTTTGAGCATTTTGACTCATAATGAACCTTGTTTTCTTGATATGCATTTTTAGAAGACAAATCTGACCTTGAAAACAGTGTGATGCAGAAGAAAATAAAAATCCCCAAACTTTCTCTCAATCACATAGAAGAAGATGGGGAAATTAAAGATTACGGGGAAGAAGATTTACAGCTTAGACACATCAAGGTAATAAAATCTTTCCGTTTTTTGGAAGTATGTGGGAGCATTTTCAGATTTCTCATAGCTAAAGAATTCCAGTTTGGCCTCTTCTCCCCATATAAATGGCCCCTGGTGTCAAAGGCCATGGTTTTTTTCAGGGTGGGCTAGGCCTGGGCCAGTTGGTGCACCTTTGCACTGCTGACCAGCTTTCCAGGGAGCCCTGACTCCTGCTGTGCCACCAGGCACAGTCGTGTTAGCACAATCTGTGCAGTGTCATTGCTGCTGGGGGTTTGGAATGATGCGTTTCTCTCTAGCCCACAGTTGTGGACAGGTCACTGCTGAATTCCAGGAACATTAACCAGCTGTTCTTGTGCAGCAGTTTAGAACCAGTCACTATCAGATTGTCCCAAACAGCTAAGGGCAAACTTGTTGGGAAATGAGGTGATCCAGTTTCACAGAACAGGGTTGTGGGACCCTGTGTTGGGAGAAAATGTTTGTATAAGGTTGCATTTCCTTTCCTGTGCACTCCAGTGATCTCCAGCCGTCACACTGTATACCTGCTGAAAATCTTGTTCAGCAAGCTTGATGTTTTTTCTTTGCAGTGGGTACCCCAGAGGAGAAGAAAGGGGATAGGAAGAAGCAGGGTGCCTTTTGCACTGACCATGGTGTGTGATTTTGGACACCAGGCCAAGGACATTCTCGAGGCATAGTCCAAAAGATGCAGCTGAGTTCAGTTCATGGCATTCCTTGCACTCCTGTTACGGGCCTTGCCCTGTGCTGGTCCCTGGAGTCATGGAGGTTAGCCAGATGTGGTCCCTACCCTTGGGGGTCTCATAGTCAAGTGATGAAGTCAGACCTGTAAAGTGATCATTACAATTTTAGCTGATAAGGTCATCTAGACTAAAAACAAACTAACAAAAAAAAAACCAGTTGTTACTGAGATGACTCCAACTCATGGCGACTCCATGGGTGTCAGAATAGACCTGTGCGCCATAGGGTTTTCCGTGGCTGGTTTTTTGGAAGTAGATTGCAAGACCTTTCTTCCCAGTGCCTCTAGATGGACTCAAACCGCCAACCTTCCAGTTAGCAGCTAAGCACTTAACCATCAGCATCACCCAGGGTCGTCTAGACTAGCAGCACCTTATTGCAGGGGATGTAACTCCATTGAGTTTTGTCGTGTGACTGAATCTCAGAGTCATTTTAAAAAATTTTTTCCCTTAAATTTTCAGAAACTTAGTTAGAGGTTAAGGTAGACCTGACCTGACACAGTTAAATTGTCCAGAATCTTGATTTCCTCAATTGTATGCACCTCCACAAGTGCCCCCAATCACGAAAGGTCCTAACCCTCCTTGCCCTGGTGGAGGAATTCAGTTGGTCCTGTAACTCCTACTGCCCCTCAGTGGCCACTTTGTTCACTTGAGCTAGAATTTCCTCAGGCGGTTGAACCCCCAGCCCCAAGGTAGTCCCAGATAATTCTCTTCTATGAACTGCCCTGTCTGTATGCACTGTCTTGCTGAACTTCAGCTTGGCCAGAGTCCAAGCAGAGGCTGGTAGATGTGGGGAAAGGAGGCTTGTGCTGGAAGTTGGGCTACAAATTCTGGTTCTGGCTTTTCCTGTAACTCATCCTGTGACCCTGAGTATAGTCCTTCCCGTCTCTGGGCCTCCATTTCCTCATTTGTAAAATGAGGGAGTTAAACTGAAAAAACAAAAAACCTTTAGGGTATCTTCCAACTCTAACATTCTTTGAACTTTTCAGTTGAGTAAACATTTTTGAGCCCCTGCCATTTGCCAGCTCTGTGTTAGGCTGTGGAGAAACAGAAAATAAGACATGGTCCCTGCCCTAGATTAGATTAGAGTGTAACACCCTTCCCAACTAAAGTGTTCTTGAGGAAAAGGTTACTTAGAGGAATATTTTTTTTCTTTCTTCCTTTTTATTTTGTTTTTTTTTTTTTTTTTGCTTTTATGTTGTTGTTGAGGAGATTTGAGTGGTAACTCCCCAGACAACAAGTTGTGTTGGCCTGATTTCTCACTGATTTTGCACAAATGCCCTTTGAACACCTCCTCTGAGCAAGTCACTGCCTACACACAGGGAAGGGGAGTGGGAGAGGGTTGTCCTGGTATAATATGGTATAATATACATCCAAGAGGCGGAGTGGTCGAATAGAAAAAGTGCTGGCATGTTGGGTGACTTTGGGCATGCCTTTTCCCCACTCTGGGTCTCCATGTTCCCATTTGTAAAATGAAAGGCTTTGACTAAGTGTTTGCACAGGTTTCTCGAAGCACTGATGTTCTGTGGTTCTGTGATTCTAGGATTGTCTGGGAAAATATTGAGCCGCAGTCCAAGAAAGTCCCAGCTGCCCTTGCCTGAACTGATTCTCGTTGTCCTACACAGAGACCTGAGGGGCGGAAGCCGAGCGAAGGGGCGCACAAGAGCATCGAGGCAGTGGTGGCCCGGCTGGAGAAGCAGAACGGCCTGAGCTTGGGCCACAGCACGTGTCCAGAAGAGGTCTTCGTGGAGACCTCACCGGGCACGGATGACATGGACAGTCTGGAGGATGCCGTCGTGCCCCGGGCTCTGTACGAGGAGCTGCTGCGCAACTACCAGCAGCAGCAGGAGGAGATGCGCCACCTCCAGCAGGAGCTGGAGCGGACTCGGAGGCAGCTGGTCCAGCAGGCCAAGAAGCTCAAGGAGTACGGGGCGCTCGTGTCTGAAATGAAGGAGCTCCGTGACCTCAACCGGAGGCTTCAGGACGTGCTGCTCCTGCGGCTTGGCAGCGGTGAGTGCCCTCGCAGGCCATACTGTCCCACGGGTGGGACACTTTGTGCAGCTCCTCTTCCAGGAGGGCAAGGGGACAGGACAGGCCAAGTGCCCTGAAGCTAGAGAAGGACAGAGACTTGGCTCAGCAGTTACCCCAAGGAAGAGTCACTCCCCTCCCACAGTGAATCTGGTAAGAGGTTAAGTATGCAGCAGCCTAGCTCTCTAGAACACAGTGGTAAATGTGGCTCAGAGAACAAGAGCTGACAAAATATTTGCCATTGCTCATTAGTGCATTCATTCAGCAAGAGGCGGTACCAGGGATTGTAGAGAACCTCCCTCCAAAGAGGTTTCAGGATAATAAAAAGAAGTAGACATGATCCTAAAAAAAGTATATCACTTTAAGTCAGAAAGTGATAAATACCACGGGGGGAATGCCAATAAAATGATATGAAAGTTAAAGGATGGAGAGGTTATTTGCAGCTGAGGGCATGAGGGAGGACTTTAGGATGGATGTGGGCTTCACTTGCACCTTGAAAGGTAGATGGTGTTTCAGGGCACAAGAGGAGGCAGAGGTTAGCAGTTACTGAGTATGGGAAAACACCTGGAGCATACTAAGAAGAGCTACTGTAAATGTAGTTTGAGGGCAAATGGTTGAAGCCCTTGAAAATTGTACCAGCCAGGAGTGCCTGCACTTGTTTTGGTTGGAGCAGGAAGCATTAAAAGCTTTAAAAGAGACACACGGTCTTAGGAAGATTCATATAAAGATGTATAGAAATCCTTTGGTTTGCTCGTAGAAGAACTTACTACACTCTTATTTTGCATATGATTTTAACAAACCAGGTGTTCTTATCTAAGAGTGGTTTAGAACCAAGAAGCAGCAGCAGGGAAAAAATAACTGCTTACCAGAGAGGAACAGACAGAAAAATGCTGTCCGAGCATAACAGTTGAGAAGTCTGAAAAACAGAGGCCAGTCAGTATTAAGAAAATCGTTATAACGCAAGCCTCCATAGCCCCTGAGGACCAATAACTCATAACCCTCAGTCAGTGTACTTTGCTTAAAAAAGGGACTACTCTCGTCTGGAAATACCAGTACTATCCCTAAAATTTAAGTCAAATACAATTTTGCATTCAGGAAGGAAAGCTTCTGTTATCTAGATAATTTTTTACATGTAATGCCTCATTCCATTTTGGTGTTTAGATAAATGTGGTACTACCCTACCGTACTTAGATTTGTGGGTGCCTTTTACTTCTTAAAGTATGTTCCCAGGCAGTATCTCAGTAGATATATTCAAGATGGCCCTGGGAGTCAGCAAGGGTGTTTTAAGGCCCTTGTCACAGAGAAGGAAACTGCAGTTGAGACTTATGCGAAGTCACAAGGGGAAGCAAAGCTCAGTCTCAAATCAGTCACCTGATTTGTAGACTAGTAATTTTTCACTTCCCAACTCTGCCTTTGTCTTGGCCACTCTCAAATCATAGCCTACAGAAGCTCACACTGACATTAAAGGTCACATGTAGTTTGCAACTTAAAAAATTACTCATTAAAACTCTGTATTAAAACAAAATCTCAAAGAGAAACCCTAGATGTAAAAATTTGTGAAAGCCTTGTTGGTCTTGGCGTCAGGGACAGGGAGAGATCTGAAATTTTCAAAAAGAAAAAATGTTTCCTGTTCTTCAAATGAGTGATTTCTGTTTTTGATTGCACTCTGCATGCTATATGCCTTTTGGAGAAAAAAAAAAAAAATTTTTTTTTTTTTTTTGAAAAACAAAAAAAAATAAAACACAACAACAAGAAGTCTCTGCACAAGTTGTCTAGACTGCCAAGGAAACTGCCTGTTCTGCATGATCATGAGCTGAGTTTAAACTGCAGAAACGATTCTTAAACTACTGGGGGAATAAGACACTCTGTGTTTTGCATCACCATGTGCCCCTTTTAGTTCTAAAACACTTGGACAAACTTGACCCCAACCATACTTTTAGTGCATTGATCTTATTAGAGTCTCCCTTCACAGAGACCTTGAATGCCACTTGCGAGGCTCAGTCGATGGCTTTTCACCGGTCCGAGTAACAATCTGCATCACAGTTGGGTTGACTGAACATAAATCAGCTCAAGTCACAAGTATGCATGAAGCACCCACCATATATATGCACAAAAATACAATAAAAAGGTCTCTACCCTCAAGGGGAGGTTGTTTTCATGGAAAGAGTATAGGCTTTGGAATCAGACAGGCCTGGGTTCAAATCCTAACTTCCCCACTTCCAACTCTGTGGCTTTGGGAATCTTCTTTTCCTTCCTTTCTTTTTTCCTTTCTTCTTTGCTTCCTTTCCTCTTTCCTTCTTTTCTTCCACAAATATTTACTGGCTTCCTGCTATGTGCCAGGCATTCTGCCAAGTGGTAGGAGTTCAGTATATTGGAGGTACAGCCCTTGTCCTCTGCCCATTAGGACCTCACAGTTTGATGAGGGAGACACTCGCTGCAACAATCAATGATAGCATAATGCATAAATGTGACCACAGGGATAAAAGGACAGGGGGCTGTGTGGCAGCAGAGGAGGGGGATCAGAGAAGAAAGGCTTCCTGAAGGAAATGACTTATAAGCTGAGGCCTAAAGGATTAATTTTTGTTATCCAGGCAAGAGTGAGTGAATGGGAAAAATGGGAGCAATCTAGGCAGAGAGCACCTCTCTGAGCCTTGATGTTCTCATCTGTATAATGGGAATAATAATGTCAGCATAGTTCCTGGCATTCTGCTGATGCTCAGTTACTGTTAGCTCCTTTTCCACACATTTAGTGGAGGACTTAAGACAGGGTCTGGTCTGGCTTTTAACTCTGGCTCGCACAAGCAATAATTGGCTGTATGACCTTGAGTAGGTTAATTAACTTCTGCTGCTCAGGGTCTTCTATTATAGAAGATAAAGAGGGCTATATACGTGTTTGTTCATTTAGTCAGTTAACACTGACTGGATGCTTTCTGAGCCTAGGAACTTGGGGAGATACAAAGAAGAATAAGACATTGGAGAGGGGAGTTAAACATGCAAGCATATAATTAAAATGCAATGTAATAGGAGTTCTGGGGGAGAGGCTAGTATTAGAAGGTGGAACTCTCTCAGTGAATCTGAAAGACACTCCCTTGAACTAACAGCTCCTGACCTGTAACACCACCAAGAAGCCTGTAACAAAGCAGAGAACAGCCAGAAAGTGACCTGGAGAGCATCAGCAAACCCTTCTCTGATTCTTGGCTTCACATGCTCTCTAAGGAACACATCCTGGCCTGGGGTTGATGTAGCCTGGGGCTGATGTGGCCTGGGGTTGATGTAGCCTGGGGTTGATGTGGCCTGGGCTGTGCCATCCTCTGCACTCTGGGCCAAGCTTGACCATTGCTCTTGGAGGCCTGTCTTTGAGCATTTTCACCTGCCCACTTCACCCAACAGTCCAGCTTGAGGGCCTCTGTACAGCTTGAGTGCTGGATTATTCACATCATAACAGGCAAATCCAGAGACCAGGGAGGCCAGCAGGTCAAGAGATGCTCAGTTTTAAAGGGAAAGCTCCCCACCTTGAAGACCGGGAAGTATTTCTGACTCCCACAGGCAGTGGAGGGTCTCTAGGTGGCAGCTGAGAGCACAGGAGCCTGGCCTCCTGAACCTGGTATGGACCTTGGAGTAAGGAGCAGGCCCCCCTAGCAGCCAGAAATTATAATGGTGCATATTATGGAGATTTGGGACAGAAAGGAAGAGCCACACACAGAAGGGTGGGGGGACAGAAGCAAGATGTTATCAGATGTTTCAGAGATTTCACTGGATGGTTCATTTCTTCATTTGTGCATTTATTCATTCCTTCTTTCATTCATTCCACAAATAAACACAAGATGGATTTAATGGGACAGATTCTATAGAACATAGAGTCGTGGAGTTGTGAAAGAAGTTAGAGAGGGTATATACCAATGCCGTTGTGTTGTTGATGAGGAAACAAGCCCAGAAAGTATCACTGGCCTATTCCCAGAGGTCTCCTAATACCTGGTCCTCTGTCCTCTCCCTGGTCCCTCACCCTGCATGGACTTGTCAGCCCTTGGCTTTCACTGTAACCCACATGGGTGTATCCTTCTCCCCAGAAGGAACACATCCGTTCTTCATAAAATAGAACATGCCTTTCCTATGATCTTAGCATGGGAAGCAGCGTTTCCTGATGATCAGCCATATGACAGGTATGCTCTAAGTGGTCAATAAATGCCAGTCCCTTTTCCCTTCTCCTCCCTTTCCCGTCCTGCTCCCGCAAAGAAGTAAATGCTGAGGATGCAAAAAGCATGAACACACTCTAAATTACAAGGTATAGATTTATTCGTGTGTATATTCATTAATTTATTCTTTCATTTTTTTAACAAACGTTTATCCAGGTTATGTTTTGTGCCAGACATTGTGTTAAAGTGCTGAGAATATAGAAATGAACAAGACAGAGTCCCTTTCTTTAAACATCCACAAGCCAGTGTTTAGAGCAGTGAGTTTTATACTGGAGGTTGGCAGCTTCCAGAAAATTCCGAAGGGATGAGGGGCAGCAAAACAGTAGAGATGCAATGGGAGGGGTGAGTTTCAGTATCAGCAGCCGAGCACTTAACCACTGTGCCACCAGGGTTCCTTAAATACTATTTAGATAATTCTATTTGATGTGATTCAGATAACGTTAGTTCAGGTAAGCCTCTAAAGGGCTCTGTGAGGAATATAAAGCTAGACCCTGCCTTCAAGATGCACACATAGTCTAATGGGCAACACAGACATGTACACAACACAATACCTGGCAGAATAAAATACGTGTGCTCTAATTGCAGGGGCTAGCCATTTGATGGTTTTAGATTTTATGTGTGCTTTGTCAGGGAATGCAGGCAGAAATGATTAATTCTGACCAGAAGAGGTATAGATAATAAGAATAAGAACAGTAATTTACATGTACCTGGCACTTCACAGGTTTCAAAGCACCTTTGACATTTTTATCTTGTTGGACTATTCCAGTAGCCATATTGCGAGGTCAAGTA